AAGCAATCGAACTAACTATTAATAAAATTTTCGAATCTTTGAAAATTGGATATACTCAGTTTCTCGATTTAATGATTGATTCGACAGTCCAGACAAGCATGAATGTAGGGAGTTGTCACCATAGGATTACTTTTTTGTTTAGCAAATTGAGAAACAAAAAACCCTCAGAAAAAAATTCAATGGCCACCAAAAACTAGTGAATGGAGGACTTAAAGAAAAAACTGGTTAATGGAGATCAAAATGCGTTGTAAAAACGCGTTTTTGTTCAACTCCACCAACACGATAAAAAAGTTACTCATATTTTAAAAACATCCGGGAACAACACAACATGGCTACTTCCAAAGCCCTTTTACGATGATATAAAAAGAAAGATGTTGTTCCTTCGCGAATTCCTGCAAAAAAAGATAGGGTTCTATCATAAAAAAAGCCTCGACGTTTTGAAACTGGGATGGACGCTTACGAGTCTAGCAAAAACAGCTTACACAAACAGACAAACCGCAAGACCTAACCGTTCTTTGGAGATGATAAGGATGTCTATAACCGTCAAACGCAAGGCAATTGTTGAAATTGATGCAAATCAGTTATATTCAATCTGAATGTGTCAAGAGATGCCATCCGGAAATTACACAAAATTGGGGGAGAGACTGAAACTGAATGATTCAAGGCCAAAAACAGCTGAACAAGAAACTCCGAGGATACGGTTTTGTCCTTCTATGAAAAACCAAGATGAAACCGTAAAACTGAGAGTCTCACACGATTGGAAAGCGAAAAAATGGACTCTCCTTGTTAATGGCTGCTCGCAAAAATTGGAGGAAAAAAACTGAAGCAAAATTATGGAAGTCCGGCGATACTGAACAAGATAGTAGAGGAGGAAGAAAAAATGGAGAAAAATGAAGAAGATACAACATTTGGAACCAACAACATTTAATGGTTGGTTTTCTGCTGGATACAACACTTGGAACTTCCAAAAGTCCAAAATAGATACTACAGATATAAGCAAACAGCTCAATGAATTTTTCTTTAAGATGGAATCCGCTGCAAAATCAATATTGCACTTAGATGTGTTCATCGTAATCTCGAAACCGGGAATTTTGATACTACGCACACAAAATCAATACTTTGTTTGAAAAAGCGCAATTTTTGTTTATGAGCGTGGATTTAATTACAACCCGGATATCAGTCAAAAATATTGATATTGTGCAGCAGTGTAGTTTTGAACGTCAATAAAAAATGGAGTCAATAAATAATATGATGGGAAGATTCTGTGTTACCGGAGCCTTTACTGAAAAAGTCTTTACCGTGTGTTTTCAATGCTTTTGCACGAACATGGTAATTTTGATGCCCATCTATCTCAATTGTTTAAAGAGTTCATTTCAAGGTTTAGTTATCATCACGGAAATATTTAAGCGCAACATGTTCCTCTACGACTTTGACATTCAAGAAGGAGAATATGTTGGGAAATTAGACAAAATATAGAAAAATTTCATACAACTGTAAAATTGCTAAGATTCAACCTTCATATCATCCATAGGAATGATAATTATACTATCTTCAAACGCTTTAGATGTCCCAGATGTGACATTTTTTTCAATAAAACTCACAATTTCAACAAACTTTTTTTGATTTGTAAAAAGGTGGAGTGCGATATATCTTTACCAAAAAAGGGGTAAACTTTATGGGAAACAAAATTTGAGACTCGCGAAGGATTCAACATACCTTACGCAGAAGAGAATTTAAAAAAAGGTCGCAAATTACGACTTTGAATCGTTTTGCGTTTTCCTTGAAGGACTAAAAGCAACCAAAACAACAAAGGGTTTTGGTAAACATGTATCGATTTCTCTTTGAATACCTGCAAATTCGCAAAATGAAGCAATTTTTCGAAGGAATATGGTCCGGAGCCCATTATATTTGCTTTTGTAACCCAATTAAAAATTCTGGCTGAATGAAGCGAGCTACAAATAAAAAACCCATTTTCAAAAATGAAAACACCCTCAATGATTCAGTCAAATAAGTGAATGACAGAGTTTTGACTAAAATATTAGAAGTGTTCGTGCATATAAAGGAATGCATTGAAAAGGGCGAAGAAGATAAACTTTCTAAACAGTTGTTGACTTCGGTCAAAAAATCACATAAACAATTCCAAACAAAACTGAGAACGCTATGTTAATAATCCACTTCTTCTGGGTTTCAAAACGGGAGATACAATCTTAGTCTTCATTTGATTCCGATCTAAAATCATATTTGATACCGTTCTTTATTTGTGATAAAGAAATGGAACCAACATTTATTTAAAAGCAAACAAGTTTATGTCTTTCAAGTTAAGACATCATTATTATCTCGATATAATGAAATGTCTGGCTGTGGCGAAAATCTTGGACTCAATGCTAAAAATCTATAAGTCAAATCAAACAATCGAACTTTTAACTTACGAGTGGTTCCACAGCTCAGACAAGCTTGACTGTACGGAATTACCACCATAGGGTTCTTTTTCAAACAAAGGAAGAAATAACAACCCTACTGAAAAAGATTTCAATGATTACCAAAAACTGGTTAAATGAGGACTTGTGACAAATTGCGTTGAAAAAAATTCATTTTCGATCAACTTCACCAACAGAATTCGAAAGTTGTTCTGTTTTGAAAATCATCCGGGAAAAACACAACAGGGCTACTTTCAAAGCCTTCTTACGAAAACATAATAACAAAAAAGTTGTTCTTTCTCTGGATGTAATTGAAATTGATAGAAAAATTGATAGATTTCAACCATAACACAATTCATGACGTATTGGAATTGGGATGAATGCTTCCGAGTCTAGCAAAGATCTGCTTTCAATAATCGACAAACCGCAACATCTACCCGTTCTTTGAATGTTATAGGGCTGTGTAAGAGAAAATTAGAAAAAAATTTGACCGGTGGACTATCAACAATTCTTAAGCGAAAAGAAGTTGTCGATATAAATAATCTTAATTCGTCAATATTGTGCCAGACAATTGATGCAAAGGATGCAAGTCCGTTATATCTAATCTCAATGTGTCAAAAAATGCCAACTGGAAATTACACAAGTTGGCAGTTAGACTCTGAAACTGAAAGATCGAAGGCTAAAAATAACAGAGCAAGAGCTTCTGAGAACAATGTCTTTTTTATCAAGAATCAAGACTAGAGTTTTTACGCGATTGGAAAGCAGAAGAAAATTGACAGTTTCCATTTTGAAGGCTACTGCAATCACTGTGAAATGGGCTGCTACTATCACTTCTGCTTCTTGCAAAAAACACGTTCATCATTGTCAGATCAAGATAATGAATTAGGAAATGAGGAAAGGGAAATAGATGAGTTAAGGAGAGAATATACAAAAAAAGGCTACAACAAACAGGAAATGTGGATAGGGGGATTTTAAAAGAAATGATACAATCAAGAAACATTTCAAGTCAGTTTTTCACATATAAAACCCCCAACTACTCATTCCATACTGAAACAAATACAGAATGGAACCATTTTTGATTATGTCCAATGTACTTTGATAGTTCCCGACGAGTTGAAATACAAAATTTTCATTTTTTTTTGCAATTAACAAAAACATTGTTGACTTGTGTTGGAATGATACTGGACAACAAATGAAAAACTATTCCGAAGATATTAGTTTTCGAATAATCTATAAGTGTTGATATTTTCTAGCTGTATATTGGAAAATGGCACAATAATCACTCCCCTTTTTAACTTCAATTTAGTACTTGGGCCTTAATGTGCAAAAGTCTATCGGTTTGTTCAGCGCACACCTAGGAAGTGCTTCAACAAGTTTGTTTTTATCTGTTATTGATGCTCAACAAGGAGAAGATAATCGACACTCTGAAGTTGTTGTTAGTACGGGTGGGCAGATCGAGACACACAATAATCAAGTATGGCGGCGATGAAAAACACGAAGCAAAATACTTCCATTCAAAAAACACCTAAGAGAAGCAGACGTGTTGAAATCAACCATTGAACATAGAAAATCAGTTACTTAAAAAGTTTCCATTTTTCAATATGCCAAACTCAGATTGTAGGAGTTATACTACGAATTGTTTCAGAAGTATTGACATTTCAACAAAATTGGGGAACTGGAGATAGACACGGACTCTTTGTATCTCAAATTAGCAGAAAAGAATTTAACTGAATGTTTTTCGCCTGATGGTACGTAAGTTTTGTCACAATGACTGCAAATATGACTTTATAGCTTATGCAAAGAGTATTTTGCCCCTCGTACATGCTGCGCTGTTCATAAAAAACCATACACGATGAACAGAAGTTCAAAAAAAAATTATAAAAAACTGCTCCTTCGATAGTAAGGATGACAAATTAACAAATAGTAGCAAAAGAGTCAACAAAAACTGTTGAAAATACTGGAAATGGACCCATGTCTGAATACAAACATGATCTTGGCCTGGGTCCAAATTTGAAGTCGCCAAATTGTGATTTCAAAATCTCGAAACAGTGGTTTTCAGTGGTTTTCAGTGGTTTTCGGTTTATAAGATCAAACTAACAAAAATCTCAGTTAATTTCAGACAGTAAAGAAAGTTCTCAACGATGAAATTCATACAAAACCACTGAATTTGTAAATTTAGCGTGTTTATTGTAGTAAATTTCCATCCGGTGCGCTGATTTGTATACTTTCGCTGTAGTTTATGTTATTTCTCAAAAAACGTGACTTTTTTCGAGGTTTCATTATGTTACAGCGTAGTTACAGCCCATGATAATTTTGCTATTGGTAGTTTGAAAAATTTATAAATCTTGTGTTGGCTCAAATTTGATAGAGTATTATCGTGTTTTCAAGAAAAAAACTGTGAATTTTGATACAAAATTTCATACATTGACTTGTCATGAATCAAAAAATAACATCTTTCAACTTCAATCTACAGCCTACATGTAATAAATCAAGTTTTTTTAGCCAATTAGATAACGCGCGCAGAGGTTTTTTGCAAAAAAAAGGTTTCTGTAAAAAAACCAAAAAAATTACAATTTTTCTTACCATTCTCCTGCCATTACTATAACACTGAAACTTTACCAACTCTTTCCCCTATCCTTATCCATAGACTTTATACCCAATGGTTCTACCTAAATTGCTGACGCAATTTTCTCTTCCCTATCTTACAACATAGGGGTTGGCGACTGCCCCATTCTGATCAGCTCCAACATGTGCTACTTGCTATTTTGTAAAAAAAAATTCAAATTGAATTTTATTTCTCAAAAAATTTCAAACTTCCTGCATTTCTTCGATTTCTCTATAATCATTGCATCTTGGGGAAATCATACTTCAGCAGTCTGAGAAGAAAGATTTGTATCAGAAGTAGAACTTTATTAGAGCTGCTATTAGAGTATCTGCTACAAACTTGCAGCAACTATGAAAATCAACCGACAAACCGAAAATGGCTGAATTAATTGAAAGTCTTAAGTACAATGTAAAAACTTGCAGGAAAAAGCCAAATCTGCATTCTATAAGGTATGTAATACGAGAAATTTTTAATACTTCAAATCGATCTTTGAGCACGTTTTTTTCATAGTTTTTCATACTTTATCACATAAAAAAATAACAATTACTAGTGCATTCAAAATATATTTTAATGTGTTAACAACACAAGAAGTTAACTTTTTAAAAAAACTGTTCGGGAAGTTTTTAAATATCTAAGGTGGTAGACAAGTTGGATGTTAATTGTGTGAAAATTTAAGATAGATAAAAACAAAGATATGTTATTTGTTCGCAGGGTAGGTGTTTTGGCCTCCATTGGCCTCAGTTAAGTAAATAGTTTGGCCTCAATTAAGGTTCAATTCATTGTCAAGTCAGAATTTAGCAAATAAAAAAAAATTGTTTTAGCATCTTTCGTTGCTTGCGTAGTTTTTCAAAAACAAATTTTAATAGGCCGAGGGGGTGCTAGAGGCAAAACATATGAAATTGTTTGCTCTTAAAACCTAAATGCAAAATTTGAAGAAAAAAAATTAAATTTTTTTTGAAAGTTGTCAGCAGATACTCTATCCCCTACTAGGGTTTATCTACATCTTCTATAGGTGTAGGCCAGGAGGAAACAGCCTTCTATTCACTTCCTTGTCCTTCTCAATCTTTTTGTAATAGCTTTCTTCATCAATTTTAAGCTGCTATTGGACTTTGTTATACTACAAAATGAATTCAGCTAACCGATAAAATCACATGCTTCAGGTTATGAAAAAGGAACAAAAGCGTGTGTTCTTTGCAAAAAACGAGCAGGAAATAGTAATCACTGATAATGGGAATTTTTATATAATTCAATAGAGAATAGACAGTATTTTTTTGCATATAAAATGTCTGAAAAAAAATTCAAAACCAAATTGAGACGTTTGTTCGATAAGAAGACGTTTCCATGCTTCAGTTAAATTTCGTTTCAATGTCGCATCAATAAATAATAAGTCAAGAACGTTGATTCGGTTGATTTTTTGCTGTAATGGTTTTGAAAGCTAAGAACTTTTGTACAAAGCAATCTGGAAATGAAAGTATGATAATTGTCTTTTTTCTTCTGAAAAAACAAATTCAGCTAGATGATTTATTTATATTTTATAGCATCAATCAAGGCAAACCCTCTATCTTTTTACAACGTCTTCTCTTCTCAAGAGTGCATTGACATTGTGTTTTGGTGTACTGCAAATA